GACGCGTTCGCCATGCAGATGACGACGACGTTTTTGTGGTTGCTGCTGCTGCTGCTGCTGATGATGATGATGATTATTATCACTGTAACAAAACAACAGGAAATCCCTGGTGGCCTGATCCTGCAAGCGTTCAGCTCTGGATTTTGCATAGGCAGCTGTAATTGGACAATCTCATCGCCCTATCACAAGGCAGGAAATTCAAAAATTTGAATTAATTTGCCTACTAATTATGTAGATGATTAATATTTATACAGTTCTTAGCTTTTATTTTATCCTTTATTAGTAGCATAAATTTGAATGCAAATTTCCTCATGTATATGCAAATGTGGCTGGCTATTAATAGTTGAGCCCATGCTTATTAGTTGGGCTGTTCATTTGCATACTAATTAGATGATTAATAAATATGGGTCATTTAATTTTAATTTATGTTAATTAGCCGTGTTTATTTACTTGATTTTTGATAGTTTACATTCAACAGATTGGCTATATTAGTGCATCTTCAACTTTCCCAAACCATGCCAAGGTGATTATGATGATGATGATGATGATTTACATTTATTATTATTATTATTATTATTATTATTATTATTATTATTATTATTATTATTATTGAAAATAAAGATAATCTTTAGAGAGTAGACATCATCATCATCATCATCATCACTGATATTAATATTATCACTATTTAAGGTCATAATGCCGTTTCAATGAATCACATTTTTTTTCCACCAGTTTCGTTAATTTCTCTATTATCACTATCATCGTCGCCATCATCATCATCAGCCTCTGGATCTCGCGCCATTAACATCCTGTGACATCATGGTGGTGGGCGGATTAAAAGTGAAACCGGATTATAAGCCGGAGTTCTCCATAAATTCATTCTGCCATCACGCCGGTAATGATGATAATGACGATGGTGATGATGATGATGACGATGATGGTGATGGTGATGATGATTGTAAGGATTATGATGACGATGATAATGACGGTGATGATGATGATGATGATGATTGTGAGGATTATGATGACGATGATGATGATGACGATGATGATGATGATGATTGTGAGGATTATGATGACGATGATGATGATGACGATGATGATGATGATGATTGTGAGGATTATGATGACGATGATGACTGTAACGTTAATAACGGCGATGATTTCACTCATTAATAAATTTCCAAGGAGTGACCTTGAAAGAAGGGGGCAACGTCCTTGTGCCTTGCTCCGCCATTGGCTATATTTTCGACCTGATTGAGAGTCTCTTCCAGAATTTGGACTCCCTTCTTTTGACGTCATTACATGTTTATATAATATCGCCTGTTGCTAAAAATAGCCTGGCCTACGCTAATATATACGCTGAATGGTTAGCTGGTTGAATGGTTAGCTGGTCGATTCACACTTGCCTATGGTCGAAGAAAATGTTTCTTATTCATTCATTTTTTAATTCATCGTTTATTCATTCATTCGTTCGTTCGTTTGTTCGTTCGTCGATTCACTTATTCATTCGTTCGTTCGTTCATTCGTTCGTTTGTTTGTTCAGGCTTTCAAAATCGAAACAATCAAAAGTCTACCAGCCAGAATCACCATTCTCCCACGCTGAGGTTGGGGATGATGATGATGACGATGATGACGATGATGATGATGACGACGATGATGATGATGATGACGATGATGATGATGATGATGACGATGATGATGATGACGACGACGACGATTTAAATATTTTCTTTCAACAGCTGATTAGAAGCAACAGACTGCATACATATGCATCTCTTTCGGGTTTGTTCATTTCTCTTTCGTTTTTTTATTTAGTCATTCTTTCTTTCATTCATTCATTCATTTATGATCGCAAGACCAATTACATTTTCGCATTTTCTCAAAACAACTAATCAAAATCTCTTATGTTAACTTTGACCTGCATATTTTATTCTCATCAACCAATCACATTTTGTCATTTCAACTAACCATCCAATGGCAATCAATATGAACCGACCAATCACATTTCACGTTTCCAACCAACCGGCCAATCACGTTTCCAACCAACCGACCAATCACAGAGGGTTTCTGCAAAGAGGTCCGCCATCCGTGCGTTGTTTTCGCGTGTGACTCCTCCCTCAGATTCGGGGACGTCGTGCGATTGGTCCACACTTGGAGGGGGGCTAGGAAAAATTCCATCATGTTTTTAGGTCCGTGGTAATGATGTTGATGATAATGATGATGATGAAGATGATGGTGATGATGGTGGCCTCCTTTAAGGACTATTACTACTGCTATTCTCACTACAACTACTTACACTACTGCTGTTGCTGCTACTACTACTGCTACTGCTAACCTTATTACTACTACTACTACTACTACTATTACTACTACTACCACTACTACTACTACTAATAATAATAATAATTATTATTATAATAATATTAATAATAATAATACAGACCCAAATGTCAATCATTTGGAAGCATTGATGCCGTTTAACCCAGTTAACATGACAGTTAGAGATTATTATTATTGTTGTTGTTATTGTTGTTGCTATTGTTATTGTTGTTATTATTGTTATTATTATTTTGGAGGAAATGATAGAGTTGCCATCCATCGTTATCACCATCGTCAGGTTTGCAGTCTGCCGCTAATCACTAATTTGAACGTCAGTGAAGCCAGCAAGATACTGGCCGACCTCAAACCGGCAAAGATCATCATCAGCGATCCAAATTTAGTCGCGTCGTCGTCGTCATCATCGCTCGATAAGGATTTGTTTATTGAAAAGGTGTTTGTTATGATTGTGATGTGAGTGAAAGAAGGAATGGAGGAATGAATGAGTACGAATGAATGAATGAACGGACGAATAAATGAATACGAGAACGAACGACTGAATGAACGAACAAAAGAAATGAGTTAAATAAAAATTAACCCAATTTAACCGACCAGGATTTGAACCCGCTCCCTCTGGGTCCGGATGCAGTCATCAGAATTTCTTTGAAAGTTGACAGAAGCCCTGTTATTGTTAAAGGCAGAGTGAGTAAATAACAAAACAACATAACAACAACAACAACAATAATAATAATAATAGCAACAATAATAATAATCGACAATCATTATCACAACTAGCTGGCGACAAAATTGAGGCCGGCGAGAACTTCTCAACAGAAATCGGCAGTGGTCGCCTATCTGAGTGGTGTCCTAACAAGAGGGGATGGGAAGTACGTCATAGACGTTAGCTATTATTATTATTATCATTATTATTATTATTATCATTATTATTATTATTATCATTATTATTATTATTATCATTATTATTATTATTATCATTATTATTATTATTATCATTATTATTATTATTATTATTATTACTACTACTACTACTACTACTATTATTATTATTAATTATTACTATTATTATTAATTATTACTATTATTATTAATTATTACTATTATTATTATTATTAATTATTACTATTATTATTAATTATTACTATTATTATTATTATTAATTATTACTATTATTATTAATTATTACTATTATTATTATTATTAATTATTACTATTATTATTAATTATTACTATTATTATTAATTATTACTATTATTATTATTAATAATTATTACTATTATTATTAATTATTACTATTATTATTAATTATTACTATTATTATTATTATTAATTATTACTATTATTATTAATTATTACTATTACTATTATTATTAATTATTACTATTATTATTAATTATTACTATTATTATTATTATTAATTATTACTATTATTATTAATTATTACTATTATTATTAATTATTACTATTATTATTATTATTAATTATTACTATTATTATTAATTATTACTATTATTATTAATTATTACTATTATTATTATTATTAATTATTACTATTATTATTAATTATTACTATTATTATTAATTATTACTATTATTATTATTATTAATTATTACTATTATTATTAATTATTACTATTATTATTAATTATTACAACTGTTGTTATTAATATTGTTATTTATAAATATCCTAGCTGCCTCCAACAAAGAAATCGGTACCGAATTCGGTAGCCAGTGTTTGTACTGCAACTACTACTGCTGCTGCTGCTGCTGCCGCTACTACTACGGCTGCTATCAACGACAATAATGATAATATTTATGATAATAAAGACGATGATGACGGGTACGTTCGTTCTTTTTCGACTTTTGGCACCGTGAGAGATTTGAAATCTCTGGTTGAAATGTTGCAAGAGGTTAGTTGGTTGGTTGATTGAATGGTTGATTGATTAATTAATTGATGGATTGATTGATTGATTGATTGATTGATTGATTGATTGACTGGTTGATTGTGACTGGTTGATTGACTGATTGGTTGATTGATTGACTGGTTGATTGATTGATTGATTGATTGGCAGCACTTCAAAGAAACTCCATGCGTCCTTATGACAAAGTCTTGCGTTAAAATCATCTTGGTAAGTAGTCTCATTTATTATTTCTTATACTTAAGTGTCACTCATTTGTTCATTCATTCATTCATTCATTCATTCATTCATTCATTCATTCATTCATTCATTCATTTCTTAACCAATCAATCAGTCAACCAACCAACCAACCAATCAAATTCTAGAACAATCCTGTAGTATCAATGAAGCTGTACGACGGTCATTGCGACATCCAGTGCAAAAAGATCACAAATACCAATGACGTCAAAAAAATAATGATGACGTTTTTAGAGATGTGCGTGTGATTGTTTTACTTATTATTATTTATTATTATTATTTATGAATATTATTTTTAAATAGCATTTATAGTAAATCAAAAAATTATGGAGAAAAACCTCGTTCACAGCGTTAAACACTGACTTTTTTTTATATTTTTCTATATCTATATATTAGATATATGTTATGTATCTATTGTATTATATAAATGTATATATATATGCGTATATGTATATATATATATATAGAGAGAGAGAGAGAGAGAGAGGGAGAAAGAATGAAAGATGGGTAGAAAGAAGAGAGAGATTTTATAAGAAAACAAAAAGTGGAGCAAATATAAAAAAATTAGAGAATTGATAAGAGAATAGAAGCGTGAAATGTCATTAAAATTGAGGAAAGAAGAGTAAGATGGGTTAAGAGAGAGAGAGAGAGAGAGAGAGAGAGAACGAGAGAAAAGGAATGAAAGAGAAAGTGAGTGAGATTAGGAATGAATGAAAAGGAGAGAGTGACTGGATAGTGGATGACAGTGTTTTTATAAACCGGCTTTACGCTCGTTAAGTGAGGTATGAATGGTCGGATGATCTGTAAGAATTTCATCACGTTGAGTCAAACGAAGATTACTTCCAATTAAATTAAACTAATTTAACGTAATTAAATTGATTAATTAATTAATTGATTTGTTAATAAAATTTCAGTTAAATATTGTTTGTTATTGTTGTTAAAACATAGCCGGAACTACATTGGAATGTAATAACAGGGTTAGTATCGTTTTGATGATTATTATTAAATCCAAAATTAAAGTTAATTTTTTCAAATGAAAGTTGTCAGTTGAGATAATGTTGAAGGATCTCTCTCTCTCTCTCTCTCTCTCTCGTTTTTTCATTCCTTTATTCGTCAGTTTTCCTCCTCGTCTCTTGATATCTTTCTTATTCATTTCTTATTCATTCATTTTCATTCCTTTACCAGTCTACAAACATTCCTTCAAAATCTCGCTACGATTAAATTGCTTTCAAATTGTTCGTTCGTTCATTCTTTAGTTCATTCTTTCGTTCATTCAATCGCTTTAGTTTAATTGAAGCCGTCATATATTCATCAATCCATTCATTCATTCGTTCGTTCATTCATTCTCAGACAACAACGATCAATATAATCAGTCCGCACTTTATTGTTATGAATCTTATTGTTATTATTATTAATATTGCTATAATTATTATTATAGTTATTATTGTTATTATTATTATTATTATTATGATTTTTTTTCTCATCGATTGCAAAGCATCTTTTGTTTCTTACATAATAACGGCGTAATAAATAATAAATCAATTACTGGAGTCATTAATATTTGTAGTAGTAGTAGTAGTAGCTGTAGTAATAGTAGTGGTTGTAGTAGTAGTAGTAGCAGCAGCTGTAGTAGCAGTAGTAATAGTAGTAGTTGTAGTAGCTGTAACTGTAGTAATAGAACTAGTTGTAGTAGTAGTAGTAGTAGTAGCTGTAGTAGTAGCAGCAGTTTATATGTATGTAGGTGTATATACGATGTTATCATTGTTCATTTTATTAACCTTTTTTGCTTATGTATCATCATTATCATCGTTACTACTATTATTATGATTATTATTATTATTATTATTATGAATCTTATTATTGTTATTATTATGATGATTATTATTGTTATTATTATTCTTTTCATATGACGTCACGCAACTTTAACAAACGTCCACCTTACGATAAAAATGATGATACACTGGAGATCACATATATAAAGCACTTGTGGCCGATAGATTAACCTTATATATATATATAGAGAGAGAGAGAGAGAGAGAGAAAGAGAAAGGGGAGGAGAATGAGAAAAAAAGAGAGAGAGAGAAGAAAGAGAGAGAGATGTATTGCTATATTTGAAAGAATAAATAAAATCGCCTTAGTTTGTGATCATCATCATCATCTTAATCATCATCATCATCATCATCGCCGCTGTGAACAACCTTGTTAGTGTAATTCAATAAGCAAAATCAATCAATCAATCGCTCTTTCTATATAGCACTAGTGCTACTAACTCATATTAAATGGATAGATGGATAAATCCATCCATCAATCAATCATTCATTCACTCATTTATTCGTTCATTCATTCACTCATTCTAGTAGTAGTAGTAGTAGTAGTAGTTGGAGTGGTATTAGTAGTAGTAATAGTGCGTGTATGTGTGCGCATGTGCGTGCGTGTGTGTATGAAGCATTTTTCCATTTTGGCGTCTTTCACAATGGACACAGATATAAATTTATTATTGTTGTTGTTGTTGTTGCTGTTTATAATAATAATAATAATTTTATTATTATTATTATTATTATTATTAACGTTGAAAACAAACATCGAAATAAACAACTTTGTTTGCAAAGAAGATTAGGGAAGAGAGAGAAAAAGAGAAAGAGAGAGAAAGAGAGAGTTAAGAAGAGAGAGAGAGAGAGAGAAAGGAAGGGAGAGAGAAAGAACAAAAAAGTACCGCGGCGACAAAGAAATGATTATATAAAGATGTTTGTTTGTTTGTGTATTTCTGTATGTTTGTCTGTATGTATGTATGTATTTATGTATGTATGTATGTGTGTGTATATATGTATGTATGTGTTTATGTATGTGTGTGCGTATGTGTGTGTATGTATGTATGCGTGTGTGTATTGTATGTATGTATCTATAATTAATATTTTATTATGATGACTAGATCATTTTTATTGCAAATAATTTTGAAAGGATTTATGTATGTATGTATGTTTATTATGCCGATACTTTTGCTACTACTGTTGCTACTACTGCTGCTGCCACAACCGATATTAATAATAATAATAACTCTATTTTAATCTCATGTTCTTTGGCTTATAGGTGAATGACAGATCGATAAGATTGATCGATCGAATGCTTGACGAATTGCTGGATGAATGAATGGATAAATGAACGAACGAACGGGTGACAAACGAACGAATAAATGAATGATGAATGAACGAATGAACGAATGAATGAACAAATGAATGAATGATGCGTACAAAAATTGCTTAACAATTGAAATTTTTATATAAATACACATGAACTTTCCAGATTAATATTTTTATTATCGTTGTCATCATCATTTTCATTAGTATTGTTTGTTTTTCTTCTTCTTTTTCTTCTTTTTCTTCTTCTTCTTCTTCTTCTTCTTCTCCTTCTTCTTCTCTTTCTTCCCCTTCTTCCTCTTCTTCTTCTTCTTCTTCTTCTTATTATTATTATTATTGTTATTATTATTATTACGATCATCATCAGTAATGCAGGGCAAGTTAGGACCTTACACGGCAGCGACGCCAGACGACCACCTGGGGTGAGGATAATAATTATAATAATAATAATAATAATAATAATAATAATAATAATAATAACAATAATAAAAATAATAATAATAATAATGCATGATGGAATACAAAT